GGAAGATCTACGCAGACAGAGAGAAATGGGAATCGGAGATGGGGACGTCTGGTCTTGCCGCTGTATAGTTTAGTCAACCAGAGCAAAAAGGATACTCTCGAGGCAAGGAGGAAAGAATGGCAGACAGCTGTGGTCCACTCTTCAGAGGGGTCAATGTGGGTCAGAGAAGCAGTTCGGGCACCACTGTCATCCTCCCTGGGTCATATGGCCAACTCCAAAGCCAAGGGCAAGGTCAGGCTGGTGTGGGAAGAAAGTAGGGTGTGGGCACATGACCTGTTGGAGGTGGGTCGTATGAAGTGATCTTACTCTGCCATCTGGGTTGCTAGCCCTTGGCCATCATTAGGACAATCTCAAATCACCCTATGAGGGAACAACCACCAAAGCAACAATGGCAGATGGAAGGCACGGTCTGAGAAAAACAGAGTCCGAGGACCTCTGCAGCTGTCCTGTGCCTCCTGCAGGGCCCGTGACTCCAGGCCCCTCTGGCCTGGGCCTTCCTTTCCCACAGTCCAAAGATCCCACCCCCATTCCCTCCCTCAGCAAAGAAATAGAGCCTTTGATGTACCCAGTTATGGACCTCTGTTCTTTCCTCCTTGCCAGCTTTGTCTTGGAAACACAAAGACAGTAAACAGGGGGTGGGTGAATGGAGTGCTGAGGTTTTTCTGGGAATGAGAATCAAGATAGGACTCAGGGTCTTTGGCCAGTTCCCAAATGCAATGAGTTTATCACTGCCAGGGACAGCAAGTGTACAAAGCTCTTGGCAGTGACCTCTATTGATTTATGGGGGGTTCTGGTTTGTTTCCCCTGCTCTGCAGACAACCAGTCTTAAGGGAAATGTATATCCAGAATCTGCAAAGAGCAAGAGAGCCACTGGCAAAACCAGCCAGGCCCCTCTGGGAGAATTCCTAAAGGGCTAAAGAAAAAGGTTTGCTCTTCTCTTCTTTGCTTTTTCTTGTCTCATTTTTTTTTTCTTGTATGATCTTCTTCCTTCTCTGTCCCTTTTCCTTCCCTCTCCCCCTTCCTTTCCTCATTTTCTCTTTTCCTAAAAAAGAGATGATTTCATTGACTATGAACAAGCAGAACTCCCAGGATCCACATCTGCCCCCCTGACACAGGGAGAGGCACCCACTCCAGGGAGCGTGAGTATGGCTCTCCATGGGTGGAGGAATTGATGCTCTAGTGCTCTAAATCATACTGACCATCTCAGCCACAGTTCTCAGAGGGGAATCTCTTTTCCACCCTCAGTTTTCTTCTTGGGCCTGGCTCCGGAGCAGGAAGCTTTGCTTCCATGGGAGGCTAAGGCGGAAACAAAAACAACTGGCATCGGTAGGGCCCATGACACACGTGGGAGCTGGAGGGAGCGAGCCACGCAAGGTGTCTCAAAACCACGCCTGCTACAAACCAATGTGTTGCTGGGATAGTCCTCATCGCCTTTATTTTTAGACAAAACATAGTGACCCTCACAAGCTTAGGAAAGGTAATCAGACAAATGCCTGAAGCCTTGGGCCCCAAGGATGCTGGAGCAGCTGAACCACTTAAGACCACCCTTATGTCTCCTCTTTGCTGTGGCTTCCGGAAACAGCTAAGATCTCATTTCCCAGCTTTAGAACGGCCTCAACGAGTGGAAAACCACTCAGCTGGAGCATTGCACAGCTGCCGAGAGCCCTTCTTGTGATTTTCAAGTGTCCTATTTTTCTTTTTGCAGATGTATATGCCTCATCTCTGCCCTCCATACCTCAGCTTCCTGGAACAAATCCAGACTTTGGGAACTATGGGGTACCTCGTAGTTCCTTGGTGGAAGATGAGGCTGTGGGCGGATGTGATGTTG